CATCATTACCTTATTTTCATTTCTATTATTAGGAGTGGTGTTGTACATCTGCATACATGTTTAAGGCCTATGTATTTTCTTTTTTGTGAACTTTCATGTTCTTTGCCTATTTTTGTTACACTATGAGTCTTTTTTTATCAATATGAATAGTAAGGAGATTAGCTGTTTGTGTATGATAAGAATTGCATATATATATAAGATAGTATATATACACATATATTTCCCAATTTATTTTTTGACTTTGCTTATGTTTTTACCATGCAGAATTTTTTTTTATAGAGACAGATGTATTAATCTTTTCTTTTATAGCTCCTGAATTCTGAGTTGGAGTTGGAAAAGCTGTCCTCATTTTGAGACCTATAAAGGATTTCCCCTTATTATCTTGTAGTGTTTTAAAAATATTAAAAAATTTTTAGTTATAGATGGACACAATATCTTTATTTTGTTTATTTAGTTTTCCTGTGTGGTGTTAGGGATCAAACCCAGTGCCTCATGCATATTAGGCAAGTGTTCTACCACTGAGCCACAACCCCAGCCCATATCTTGTGGTGTTTTTATAAAGCTTATCCTGACAAATAACATTATCCATCTTACTTATTTATTTATTTGCAGCACTGTGGATCTGGACCCAGGGTTTTGTTGTTAGGCAAGTGCTTTACCACTGATCTATATCCTCAGATCTCCCATCACCTTTAGAATAAATTTCAAGGCCAAAATAATGGCATGAGTTAATAGTGTCATTTATCACCCACGTGAAGAGGAAACACAGGAAGACAGGAAACTGGTTTAGGAGGTTTCCAGGGGAAGGTGACACATCCTGTTTTGTGTATGTTGGGCTTCAGATGCCTGTGTGGCCTCCAGGAGGGGACATCCAGGAGGCCAGTGGATTCTGGGATTTGGGATCTGGAGCTCAGGAGAAAGTTTGGGTTGAAGATGCACCTTTGGAGGCAAGCATATGGATGTCAGTTAAAACCATAGGAGTGTGTGTAGAATTTGAAGAGGGGAAGGTCACTCAGATGGAACTCTAAGGAGCAGTCAAGTTCAGGCCCCAGACAGGCTCAAGAAGACAGAACTATGTGGGCTCCATTCATGGATCATAGGGTTTGCACAGAAATAGTCTTGGTGATTGGAGGCCCTTAAGTGACACATGGGTGGATATCTTTCGGTTCTGGAGACAAAGTAAATGAGGAAAGAGGAGGACCAAGAACCTCTCCAAGAGTCAGTTCTAACCCAGCAGGTTTGGAGACTCTGTGACAGGGGAACAGAGGCAGTTCAGTCAGCAAGCACCAGCCCCCTCCTTCCCCCAGATAATCTAAAACATCAATAGGTGGCAGCAAGTCCCCAGAGGTGGTGGAACACGTGGAGCCACCCCTAACTGGTATTTTCCTTGGATCATAGTGTAATGGTTAAGAGTACACACCCTATAGTTGCACTATCTGGCTTCAAATCCTAGCTTTGTTATTTACCTATTGTGAAACTTTGGGCAAGTTACTTAACTTCTCTGTGGTCAGTTTTCTTTCCTGTAAAATGAGGGCAGTAATAGCATCCATCTTATAGAATTATTACAATTAAATGGGTTAATATTTATAAAGTTGTTTACATTGGTGCCTGGTACAAATAAGTACCATATAAATATTAAATGAAAAATGAATAATTCTATTCACTCATGAATATTTACCGACCAGCTAGTATATGTGAAACACTGTTGTAGGTGCTGGAGGCACACTAGTGTATAAGGCAGGTAAAAATCCCAGTCCTCATGAAAGATTTTTTTTTTTTTTTTTTGTATTGAGGATTGAACCCAGGAGCTTAACTACTGAGCCACATCCCCAGCCCTTTTTTATTTTTTTATTTTGAGTCAGGATCTCGTTAAGTTGCTGAGGGCCTCACTAAATTGCTGAGACTAGCTTTAAACTTACAATCCTCCTGCTAGGACGACAGGCATGTGCCACCATACCTGGCTTCATGAAGTTATTGTTGTTGTTGTTGTTGTTTTATACTCCATTTAATTAATTTATTTTTTAATGTGGTACTGCAGATCAAACCCAGGGCCTCACACATGCTAGGCAAGTGAGTCTATCACCACAGCTCTATCACCACAGTCCCATGAAGTTCTTATCTAATGAGTGTGGTGGAGATGAAGACAGACAAAATATAAAATAAATAAGCAAAATATACAGTCTGTCAGATCCAAGTGGAGACATGAGAGATGTGCAGGAACTAGTGAGTAGATTAACACCCAGTGTACAGTGGTGCTCAGGGGATGGAAAGAGGAAGGCAGGCTTTAGACAAGCAACTATATGGAATCCCCAGCAGAGACACTGGGGATGCTGAAAGCCTCAGAGTACCAACCAACATCTTTACCCTCATAAAATAGAAAAAATACTTATATAGCACTGTCCTATAGCAGATCTGCTTATTCTCTTTACTTATGTCATCTCATTTAATCCTTATAGCAAATCTATTTGATACCACTATTCTTCCCATTTTTCAGATGGGAACTGAGGCACAGAGAGGTTAAGTAACCTGCCTCACAGAGTTAGTAGATGAATGAGCAGGGATCCCTGCCCAGGTCATCTGGCTCCAGTGTGGGTAGGATCATACTTGCAGGTAGAAACAGGTAGAAGGGACAGGACAGGTTGCTAAGCATCAGGACTAGGTGGAGTCTGAGCTTCAGACAGACTGGAAAGAATATACACCCCCCAATACCTACACACCCAAGGCCAATGTACTTAATGCATATTTCAAGGTCACTCAGAGGGACTGGAAGGAACAAAAGGCTCAGTTTCTGAATGGTCTGTCCCCTCTACACACCACTCCATGCTTAAGTCCAGCTTCTTGTGACCTTTAGTCACCATCCCAAAGTCCTGTAATCCCACCCAGAGACCATATATGAAATAATGAATATCATAATCCTGAGTTGCTTAACAGAGACACCACAACTTCATATTGCAGCTTGGAACCAAGAAAGCAAATCATCAAGCTGGGCGCAGTGGGGCACGCCTGTAATCCCAGTGATTTGGGAGGCTGAGGCTGGAGGATTGCAAGTTTTTGAAGTTAACTTCAGCAATTTAGCGAGGCCCTAAACAAGCAAGACTCTGTCTCAAAATGGAAAATAGAAAGGGCTAGGGATGTAGTCCAGTGGTAAAGAGCCCCTGCATTAAATCCCCACTACAAAAAAAAGAAAAAAAGAGAAAGAGAGAGAGAGAGAGAGAGAGAGAGAGA